AGGAAGATGATGGCGACTGTTTTTTTGGGACAGAAAAGGTGTAATTTTGGTGGACTTCCTGGAAAGAGGCACTACAATAAACTCTCAAAGGTATTGCCAAACTCTCCAAAAACTCAGAAGAGCAATTCAAAACAAGCGCAGAGGAATGTTGAGCTCTAAGATCTTGTTGATTCACGACAACGCCCGGCCCCACACACGGCAAATGTCACTCGTAAAGTTCTTGAATCTTTTAAGTGGGAGTTGTTTCCTCATCCGCCGTACAGTCCCGACCTGGCACCGAGCGACTTCCACCTATTCCCAGCAATGAAGAAGTGGCTGGCTATGCAGCGTTTTTGATGACGACGCACAGCTGCAAGAAGAGGTAACGAAGTGGTTGAAGGCGCAGGCGGCCGAATTTTTCGACGAAGGAATTTCCAAGCTCGTACATCGCTACGATAAATGCCTTAATTTGTATTGTGACTATGTAGAAAAGTAGTATTTGAGTGTGGCTTTCATCTGTATATAATAAAATTTGTTTCCTATACTTTGTTTATTTTTTTATTCCAAAACGTAATCTACTTTCTGGATAGCCCTCGTATATAAAGATATATTAATAAAATTCAAACTAAAAAAAAATCTGCTTCATTAACCTTGAAGATAAAATTCAAAATAAAACAACTAACTTATTAGGGGATAATATAAAGCAAATTATTTTAAGTAAGGTCATTTCTATTTTACTTGATTGTAACCCCAGATGTCAGCCACCAAGAGCAGATATTAATTTGTATGAGGTATCTTAATTTAAAAAATACAGACGTGAGTATTGAAGAACGGTTTCTAGTATTTTGTGTTTTAACAGATACCACCGGTGAAGGAAAAACAACATTCTTAGTAAAGACTTTAGGGGAAAATAAGTTTAGATATTAGTAATTTACGTGGCCAAGAACACGGCAATAGGTCAAATATGAGAGGTAAACAGTTTTCGAATAATTAAGCTCAAATCGTTGCTTTTCTGAATTAAAAATTTAACCTAAGTTTAACATAATATGTAATTGCACCTTCCTTTTTTATGTAGAAAAACAACAACAACAGGCAATCACAAAAGATAAATGTTGCATAAATTAGTACCATTGCAAAAGTAGACACAAAATAAGGACTAAGCAATTTGTCGATCATGTCCAAGGCGCCGGCTTGTACCCTTACATACGCATCTGCATCACGTATTTTCGTTTACATATATTTATGAGATCAACTCAACTTATGTCAAAAACTGTAAAAGCATTAACTGATAAAAATCAAAGCAATATAAATAGTATAGATTTTATGAATGAACTGCAGTTTTTGCAAATTTCTAGAGGAATTTCAACATTACTGCCAGTTGAAATTCTAAGCTATATCATTGTCAACAACACAGCGGTGTGCAAAAATTTATCTCCCTAGATATCAGGCCCACACCATTTTTTGTCCCTTTGTAATACCAGTTTGAACCTTGTTGTAAACTATGCTGCGAATAACAATTTATTCTGTGCAAACTTTTTAGATATCTAAATTAATTTGTTTTTAATTTTAACATAATAAGTATATTTGGTAGCTAATGCATTTAGTATATTATTACGCTTCACCTGCAGTGTCACGTTTTTATAATATGTAGTTGTTGATTAACGCTCACTTGTCTCCTCATGGCAAGGAGTGCAAGATACACCTTCGTTGGCAGGCATATTTTGCCAGTGTGATTTAACTCAGATCGTCCTCAATATTGATGGAGAGCATCCTAGGATAATGGGTCTGAGCGTATCCCACCCCTCTTCCCCTACCATCAACCTTGCGAGAGGACTTTCGCTTCGCATATTTAGAATGCCTCCATGCCACATGGACACTAAACATTTACAAACATCCATGCCTTCTCCGAGATTCGAACCCAGGCCCTTCGGCACTGCAATCAGCAACGCTAAACATTCTACCAGTTGGGCAGCTTTTTATAACATAAATGTATGTATAATTCTCCAATAAATATGTTTGTTTGAGTGTGGGTTTGCATATTTAGACACAATTTTGCACAAAATGTTTGCATATTAAGACAAATTAAAAGATAAAATGTAATTTTTGGGGTTTTTTTATATTATTATGTTAATAATGCTTCATTTTAAATGTTAACCATAGCAATGTCCCTTTAATATTGTCACTGCATAAAGGCGCTCGCTAGACATTTGCATGACGGCGCCGATTAGGCTTGGCACGGATCTCGATATAGAAGCTGTAGCTGCTTCAATAATATCTCAGTAATGACTTTCGCTAATTCATCAACAGGCACACTGTTCATATATTCTTCTACAAGATCCGTAAGAAAGGCGAAAAGTTCTCAGCCTGCTTTATCAAATATAACATGTGAGAGTCTTAAAGACAAGATTCATTCCTTCTCTTAGAAAAGATACAAATATATGAAAATGATCACTGTTGTAAGGATAATTTTCACCACTAGGTGTGCAGAAGAGAATAGAAATGGTAAGATAAATAGCATGAAAGGTCCTTATAAGGCCTGTGGAAACAGGTACCTTGTCCTTTATTGATGAGACAAAGACAATGATTGTCAATCATTTGTTCAATTTGTCTATCTAGAGGATTCTTATCACTACTTTCCCAAAGTCAACTACATCTGTTAAAGCCTTCAATAATAATAAAGGCACTGGCAGCTGCTCCATCAAGTCATTCAAGTCTCTCTGATTGCTAACTTCAGATATATGGAATAAACAGAAACTAATATTTTATATTAGCCTGTATAGCAATGGCTTGAAGGGATGTTGCTAACAGAAGGACAGTCAACAGATAGTTATGGGAGATGAGAAGGTCTACTTCCCTACAGACATGTGCATCAACAATATTGTCCTTTCTCATAGAAATCCTAAGCCCAGCTTTGCAATCGGCTCTGACAAACATTACCTGCAAAGTGAAGCCTACTGATCAACAGACATTGATCATGCTCTTGATATTCAAGACTCTCGTGGGAACCACAACAATTCCATAAAATAAGGGAGGCTATTATGAATGTTTATTTCACTCATACTGCTTCTTTGTCAGCCACGGAAAGGAACACTCTGGAAGTTCCAGTCTCCCTTCAACTTCAAACTTCATAGCAACACACTCAGCCAATATTTTCCAGAGAGCTGTGACTTTCTTTGACTTCAGGGTTTAACATTCTAACAACTAGTCTTTTTTGTTATAATAACTGGTTTTCCTTGGTTGTATTGTTAATATTTACTAATCTTAAGACACAATAACACGCCGAATAAATACTAATTCAGAAATCAAACAACAAAAACATTATTTCCTATCTTGTTCATTTGCGGTTTTGCAGCTGAAGATGGTGGTTCGGTAAAACCATCGAAACTAGTCCTGTGAAAACTTTGTAAATATAATGCTGATTTTTGTTGTTTGATTTCTGAATTAGTATTTACTAATCTATTATTAGTTGCAGTAGTTTCTGTTGGTTTGCTTTTATTTGTGTCTTCTGAATTATTAGTTCCTTTTCTGCATTAAATGATCATATTGTTTACACTTCTACTGATTTAACAGACTTTGCAGCAGCATCAGCATACAAGACTTTCAAATGTGGCTGTATAACTAACTATAATTCTCCTAGATTCTGCATATGTTTTCAATCCTTTTAAGACCTGCACTTCTTTCTCAGCATTCCAACTAGGACATGAATGAGAAAATGCTAAGTGCTCCCCCTTCTAATTGACATATAGTGGCACAGCTTTGCAATTATCACTGTCGTGGCCCTCCATGGAGCAGTGCACATACGTGAGCTCACACTGATAAGAAATTTTTGAGTGGCAAAAGCACTGACATTGAAAATCACACAATTGATTGAAGATGTACAATCTCACACAGCAGTGAAGATATCCGTCTTTTACACTTTCAGCAAATCAAGCACATGGAAGATCAGGATAACATGTCTGGTATTGAACAACTGACCCTCTTTATGTATCTTGACTTACCTAGCAGCACAGACATTTTAGTCATGAGCTCAATCACGAATTTTCCCTCTGAATTGTAGAGCAAACCTAATTCAGAGATTACTCCATGACTGCAGTTTAATCTTCTGTGAGCAGAGATACTTACACCTGTCCTAGTTTATTTACAGCAGGAAGCATAGCAGATTGACTAAATTAGTTTCTATCAGTAGGTCACCTGAGTGAAGCCATTTGATGTTTTAGGTTCACTTGGGTTGGACTGTATAAAGTTTTATACAAAAAATGATAACTTTTCTAAATTTTGTCTGTTGCACTTCTGATAATAACAAAACGAGACAGTAATTTTCTTTCGTCTGCACTGACATTTACACATGTTTTAATCTCTTTATTTACATTCATTGCATTTTTGTACGTATAAGAGTCATTTAAAGTATCCATAAAGAAAAACATTCAGACTCAGCAGGCTAACCCACTACATAATCCAACAAGGGGATGCAGATACCTACTTCATGTCGAGCTGGGTCTACACACAATCTGAAACCTCACAGTCAACTTTCCTGAAAGCTGGGACCTCCTCATTAGCTTAGCTTCAAGCCCCTGACATGAAGGACAATTGACCAGTCAAGTGAAACTAATTAGGGCAGTTAAAAGCCTCCCATTTCAATCTGAAGCAGAGGCCAAAGCAGTATGTTGGGCATAGTATCTTATGCCTCAACTACCAGGACCCTTCTTTTAAGCCTTATAGATCACGATACACAGAAAACGTGTAGGTGGTTTGCTCCTCATGAGGAACTAGAAACAAAGAAGTATAACAGCACCTCTCTTTTGGCCCCAGCCTTCAAAAAGGAAAACATGAAAAAGGAACAGGTAAGGAGAGCTGAAAAGGAAAGAACACTAAGGCTCCAGGATCGTGACCCTTGAAGAGGGTGATCTCTTGAGGAGCTAGGATACCTCTAGATTGTCATACTCAAAATGAGTAAGCTCCTGAGGGCATATACCAAATACAAATTAAACTTTTAAAATTCTGAAAAACTGTATATATCTTACCATATCTTTAAAAAATGGTGGAGGTTTTATGTAAATAGATTTCTGATCCCAAGGATATATATTAGTCTCTGGCACATGTAATGAATTCCAACGCTTATTTCCATGCTAAAAAAGGCATAAAGTAGATAAATACATTATTTGGGGAAACAACTAAAATTGTTTGCATTGTCAAATATACACAAGTTGACAAAAGAAAAATAAAAAAAAAAAAAAAAAATACCTCTATTTTTGAATACACTTCTTTGAACATAGCTGGAAGAACATGTTTAGCTTCAACTTCCTACAAAATAAATAAATTCCAGAATAATAAGATAAAACCATTTTCATGCCATGGTGAATTCAACATAAATACCAGTTATATATAGTTACCTGAATTTCCTCCCTAGAAGGCCATATATCTCTCAGATATACATTTTGTCCATCCTGTCCTTTACCTTTAAAAATAAGATTTTATTATGCACTTTATACTCATTTAACATCCTCTGTCAGTAGAATCACTTCAAAAGCACCAAAATTTGTTTAAAATATTCATTAAAGAATTAAATTTTTTCATACAACATAATAGTCATTATAGTACTAGAACATGTCAATCTGCAAAATATTAAGTCAAATTTACATTTATTATAAACAATCCAATTAGATTTTACTTTATAAGAGATAAAAAGTGCAAAAGAGAATGTGGTAGATTTTCAGTTAACTGGTTACAGAAGACTAATCCAATGCCAGAAAAACAAATTGCTTATTGATCTAAAAAGTATACAAAATACAATTTACATGAAAATTACATAAAACGAAAATCGGTTAAGTGAAACCAAAGGAGAAAAATGTCCTTCAATTATATGATAATCAAACACATAATTATGGGCAGACATTTTTTTTTTTTATTGAAGATGATGGAATGCATATCAGTTTTCATCAAAAAGGATGGAATGCAAATTAATATCAGTTTTAAAATAAACCTTCTTTTATCAATACTTATGCAAAAAACATGATTAACATAAACTAAGCTGTAATGATTTCAATACTGCACACTTGTATCTAACAAGAAAGGTAAAAAACACAAAGTAGTTTAGCAACAAAAATAGACTTTTCTGACAGAAAAGTATTTACATCTAATCTAGATCTGCATTGAACCCATAATTTAGAGCTTTATTTCAATTTAAGATATCATCTATTAATACCTTCTAAAAAGGGTTATTATAAAGGTTCAATGTGAAACTGAATTAAATTGGCTTCTACAGTGATAAGAACAAAGATGCTATTAAATTTCACTTCTAATTTAGAAAAAGTTTCAAGAATAGTATAAATCTGGAACTATGCATATTTTGTAGTAAAAATTTATTTCTATTAAAAAAAACAGGAAAAAAGAATTTCTATGCTATTTTGACAATCATACTTTCATACACAATTACCATGCATATGATCAAGATAGTAATTTCATAATGAAAAACATGCTACTGAAAATCTGCAGCATCCCATTTTTTTTGTAACAAATTAGTAGAACACACATTCTTAAGTTCAATTTAGAATAGTTAGTGGAAGAATAATAACACTACATTTACAATATTTAAAGAACTAAAGCATAGTAATTTCTATGTATTTAAAATAGTTTTATAAAAACAAACATGTATATATATTTTCCGATTTATGAACTCAATAATTAAAACTTATAAATATCCTTGAGTAAACATACGTATATCAAAATAATTTGCCAGTTAAAAACAGAAATTAAAATCTATTAAATGTCAATAAAGTATACAAATGTAATGAAATGCATACCAATCGGCTCATTTTCAAAATCAATATCAACCCTTCCTGCTAAAGCATATGCTACAACAAGAAGAGGAGAAGCAAGATAATTAGCTCTAGTATGAGGATGAATTCTTCCTTCAAAATTTCTGTTTCCAGACAGAACACCACAAGCGACAAGTTCACCCTAAAATTAAAACATATGACAAAAGACAATTAAGATAAAAGACATATGACAAAAGAAATTGCATAATTCATATTTTTCACATTCACAATTTTCTCACTGTTATAGAATTCTCTATATTATTTGATACAAAGATAAATTTTATAAAACATTTTAATAGTTCTTTACTGTTACTTGTAAATAGATAAATATAAATATTTCTCTTATGGTGATTATCAAAATAAATTAGTCTTAAGCTTTAATATATTTCTTAAAAATATACAATTTTTTTGCTAGAAAATTAGCTAATTTAGTTTAGATTTTAGATTAGTATTTACAGAAGTCACAGTCTGAATTACAGAGTGTGTTAACATACAGAATAAGTTTAAGGCCATTTCATTAATGTTTAAGGTGTAAGAACTTATTTAAATGTTCAGTCTAGTGGCCTTTTTTTTTTTTTTTTTTTTTTTTTTTCCCCATACAGTTTTCCATGATAGAAAATCTCTTTATAGAATTTTCATGTACATATTTCTGCCCACTCCTTTTTTACTACTTTTCTCAGTTCATCAATAGTAGTAGGTCTGCGTTTAAAAGGGCTGTTTTCAGAAAACTACGATACAACAGTCCATAGGTGAAATGAAGGAGAACTTCACAAGAGTACACTGAAAAGTTTATACACGCAATTTCCATTGTATCAATCTTTTCATAAAATGCAGTGTTAGCTTTTGAAGCATGACTGGTAGTTTTGCCTTAGCGGAAAAAACCAATGAAATAAAGAAACAGAAATTCTGTATATGCTGGCAGTAAAATGTATTTCAGAAAGTATGTATGATGAGTTGATTTTAACATTCTTACCCACATTTTTTATTAATTTCCACTACATGAAAACCTGTAAAGAGGTTATCACACATGGATACAGTTCCTGCTAGACGGCACTTTTCCGAGAAACGAGATTCTGATAGAATTGGTTTAAACAGGAGGATTCCTAGAAAAAAGAGGACCGATTGAAGCAAAGTCCCATCTAGCTATGGAAGAAATGTTGCGGTTACGTGGGATTTTTTCAAACCTGACCGAAAATGTCTCGGGTACCGGGTAGAGACAACCAATCAGACAAAAGTTCTGCTTCTGAAGGATGATGTGATCCCGATTTGAGCGATAATCGATTACTGTTTGGCGTTCAAGTCTTTGCAGTAAGTGAGAATGGTAACCTAACTACGTGGGTTTCCTGGAATTGTGCGGGTTCTTAGAATTGTCCCTTTCGACGTCAAGTCCCGCGTAGCCGAAATATAATGTGATTGGGACCTAACTGTCATGATCCCCTTACTGAAACTGTTTTTGCATTTACAGAACAAGATTTTGTATAGCCTTTTCTTCTTGTTTTCGACAACAAATAGATTTTTTTTTTTTTGCACCCATTTAAATAAGCCTGTTTTATTAAAAGCCACAATGCATTTCCATTTTTGTCTGGCTCAATGACATTCACAGAGGGCTTAGCAATATTTTCTGCATTTAATCACATGCATTAGCAAAAATAAAAGTGAACATTTTGTTTTTTAGATTTATTAGTCATAAATCTATGATATCTTTATTATACCTATAGGTATATTTGAAGGCTTTGTAACTGATTTCTGTACAAATGGATTTTCAGACGCTACCAGAGGCTTGATTTCAGAAACATTAGACAGTTCAACTTTCCTACATATTCAAGTAGAGTCTTCTTTCCATGCAAAACTAGCTGATGATTTTTTCTTTCCATTTAGAAAGATTACTAATTTTGCTTTGAGAAATTTCAACAACATATCTTTCACAATAGTTGTGAACTGTAAAGTAACAATATTTCTCTTCAGAAACAGCAAAAAACATTGATCCAGAGTTTGTTAACTTGTGACATTTTACACTTTCGACTTTTAAATTTAAAAGTAGCAAATAATACATCTCATTTTAAGTTATATGCTGCTGCCAGAAATTTTTGTTCTAAAATATTTTAATTCTTTTTAATCCGTTACTGAAATCATTCTAAAACATGCTATGTCTGATCACACTTATTCCAATCTTTAAAATTACTGCAGGAATAAATTATTTAAATTTATTCCTAAGTTGTTGTTGAAAGTAAAATTAAGAAACAAATGGCATTGGAAAGTAATAAGTATTCTAACAGAATGTAATTAGAACTTTTGGCCAATTCACAAAATTATAATCAGTTAAATATGTTAATTCCAAGAAAAGAAGAATTTTACTTGATTTTCTAATACTTCAAAATGCCTCGATTATGCTAGAATAGTGACACTGAAATACACAAAATATTAACTATATGCATTTATATTCATATAAACTGCTACATAATCAGTTTATAATCATGACAACTTGTACTTTATATAAATTGTCAAAGAACAGTAGAACATAAAATGAAAATTAGCAATTAAAGATCTTTTGTTAAAAATTTTAAATACAAAATGAACACAGCAATCCATGGTTTCAAGATGTCATAAAATAAAAGGTTACGTGAATAAGTTAATTAAATACGATATCCATGGCCAAGTTAACACAAATTTTTTCCATATCGTTTTCATAATTGATAGGTATAATTTCCACTGCTATAAGGCAATGACACTGAAAATGACATTTACCCCACAGCAACAATGCTTGAGCATACTCTAATTTGAAAAAACAAGCAATGCTGACAGTGTGCAATGTGCACTCAAAACAAAGTTTTGCTATTGATCTGCTTGGACACAAATCTGTTCTGAAGTGGCAAAACACATTTAGTCAAACAGACTAAATATGTGATAAAAAAGGACAATTTGTGCAACCTTTCATCTTAGAGATATGGTTATTGATATTATGGCAAAGCACACTAGAGCTATCTGCCTAACAGGAGGGATGCCTTCGTGGAGCACTTTCTAAGGGAAACTGGCTCGTATACACGTTACATATGGGGAAAACCATGAAAACACCCATGCAGCCAGCCCGTTCGCGAGATTCGAACCTCGGACGGAACTACCAGTGTTCAACGACTTTACCGCTCGGCCACTGGCGGGCGCTTCATCTTGGAGAAAATTGTCGATTGAAGAACATGATTATTTAAGACCTTTTCTGATGGGGTTTGTGAAGGACCAAGGGTATGCACATCCATTATCTGTAATACTGATGAGCTCCAAGAACACAACAATACCTTGAAATCCATCATATCTAATATGCTTCACAACTCATGGATGGTGTTGTTTGTTGTATCCATGTTTCCTGCATAACAAGTGATGTGCACATCAGATGTTTGTGATTGAAATTAATGCCATCAGAACTTTATGAGTTTCTGCAACCATCACAAAAACAGAAAACTACTACTTTTGCGCTCATCCTGTATGCCAGTATATTATTTCTTTTTAATAAAGAATATTTCATTAGTTAAAATCCTCTTAATCACGTTGCTTTTCCAATGCTATTGAAAATCTATAAATAAGTTATTAGAAAAGTACAGAAGAAAGTAAAGCTTTTTAGATAAATCACAGAACACTTATTTTTTGCAAAGTATACACAAACACCAAAATTAAATGCTCTGCAAACAAAAACATTTATTCTTTCTTGAAGATAAAAAAAAATATTTTAATGTATAACTATACGAAAATTATTACCCAAAAGCTTTAAGCTGAAAGAAATATTTTTCCAACAGAAAGGAGCTCATCACTTCATCCTTTTGTAAAGTTCCATGAATAAATGCAAGCACCTGCCCATTTCCAATTGGGAGATAAAGTTTTTACCCTTAATTAAATTACATCTATGTATCAGATTCTGAAGTACTCATATTCTTGAAGAGGTTAATAATTAAAATTTATATTAAGGACTTTAGACAAGAACTCAATATTATAATATGAATCTGATTGAAAGAAGGACAAAAGCAAATGACTGAGATGTACAGTGATGAAAATATGAAACATTATTTATGTAAATTTTTCAAAAGTCGTTCATGTGTAACTAAACTGCTGCCTTTACTTGCTAAAGTGCTTAAGCAATAACTGAAGTTTCCACAAAAATACTACTTGTAGGAACTAACTTTTGTACACTACTGGCCATTACAATTGCAACACCATGAAGAAAAGCAAATACAAAAAAGATATTTATTGCATGTAAACAGTATGGCATTGAAGACAAAATGATTAAATTTGTACACGTTTTGGAGATTTACAAGGGTGTGGAACAGCTGACAGCCCTGGCAGCTAAAATGGCTAGGCATGGAGTTAACTGGGCTTGAATGACAGAAATGGGCAACTCATTCCATGCTGCTTCAAGTCTATGCCATACTTCAACAACTGTGTTAGCTGTAGAGGGGTTGCGGGCCAGTCTTTCGTGACCAGATGTTTTCAATGGGTGACAGATCTGGAGACTGTGCAGGCCAGGACAGCAATCGAATACTCTGTATATCGAGGAAGGTCAGAACATGACATGCAATATGTGGTCTTGCATTATCTTGTTGGAATATGGTGTTTGGTGGCTTCGAAGATAGGGCAGAACCATTGGACGTAAGATACCAGAAATGTACCCATCTGCGTTCAAATCAATGTTGATCCAAACTAGAGATGTGCGTGTTGTGTAGCCAATGGCTGCCCAAACCATCACATCAGGTGCAGGGTCCCTATGCCAATATCAAATGCATGTGCGATCTCCTCGGACACTCCAGACATGTATATGGCCATCAGAACGTAGAACCAGGACTTGTTTGAAAAGCCAACATTGTGCCACTCCTGTACCCAGCTTTGTCATTTGGCACCATCTTTCTCTATGCTGCACTGTCAAGGGAAGCCGAAGTAATGGTCACCCTACTAATGATAGTCCACGCACCTTTTGAGCTGATTCTGTGCTGCAAGCATGCCCATTTCCTGACTAGTGGTCTGTGACGTGGTCATATGGTTTTGCAGGGCTGACGTCACAATATGTCTGTCCTTTCTGGCATTACCAATGAGAGGTCGATGAGATACTGCATGATGTTTAGTATGACCCTCAGCAATCCATTGATTCCATATTCGCACGAGAGCGGTTGGATGACGACCAGTGGCAATATCAGGGAACGATAATCTACACTTTCGATAAGCAACAGTTCTGCTTCTACCGAATGTCGAAACTTGCTAGTAAGCATTTCCTCTTCTTATTCGAGGCATAACAATATTCTGAGCAAACTCCAACCTCACAAAGCACTTTAAGAATGTGAAATCCACTACACAACTGTTCTTTTATGCAGTGCTCCAGATGTCGCTTCTTCCTCCTCCGTTGTCTAAATGTGCTGAAATACTAATCATTTGCATATCCCAACAACTTCTTCCTTTCATGTGATTTTGACATTTGTCAGATCATGCCTTCTTATTGTTGCAATTTTAATGGCCAGCAGTGTATTTGGATTAAGTGCTCTTTTCATGGAAGTTTGCAGCTTGGGTTTCAAAGGCCAATTTGTTGTTCAATCTAACAAAGTCAAACCAATCACAGACATCTACATATTGTTTTATAATAACTACAAAAATGCATAAATTACAAAATTTCAAAGGGTGGTTTTAGTACACAAGTTGCAATGTACAAGGGATTTTATCAAAACATTCTGTCAAATATAATCCCAGTTAAAAAAATTTTCATCACTGGAATATATTGCTTTAATTTCATTCCACAGGACTTTATGCAAAACTACAAGGAAAATAACAAATTAGAATGTGAGAAAAACATATTTTCCCAAATCACTTTCATAATGAAACAGTATATAAAGAAGAAAAATATTCAGTAACTTAAGGTACTACAGCATAAAAAAATTAATAATTAGATTAAATAAATACCATATCTATAGCTTGAACAACACTCTCTGGAAGAGGCCCACTATTTCCAATACATGTCATGCAGCCATAACCAACAATAAGAAAACTATAAAAAGATAAAATAATTACACTTTATTCACAATAAGATTTATGTATCATTATTACTTAGATTTTTTTTTCCATTACTTTATTTGGAAAAAACAGCCTAATGCTTTTCAACCTTCCTTAGCCATTAAAACCTCTTAAATTTGTCTATGCAGGTACACTTCAAGCTTCTAAAATTATATTCTACAGAATAATAATTAGTTTATGCCTCTATAACAACGATTCTAAGTAGTGCTGAGTTGGAAGGAGCTTATTTCATATGCATCAATTGCCCTTTCCACTTCATTTCAAGAGACGCTTGACAGACAGGAATTAACTGTAACAGCAACTCAAATATTGGCAAGTCAACGTCCAGCTTTTTGCCTCATTCTGCAGTTAAATGAACCTCATAGAATAAAAACTAGCCAGCTGAAAGTATTGTTATTAAATAGGAAAAAGAGTAGTAGTCTGACAACCAACTAAATTGATGCCATTGCATCTGAAAATAAGTATAAGGCATTGTTATGCATAAAAATATTTTTATTATTTATTTAGCTTATGGCCCCACCATTAAGACAATCATTCCCGACTGCTATGGCAACAGTGCTATTTGCTAGGCCTTTTTACCCTAAATTTGTTAGATTGAATTTACTATGTTCTGCAACAGTATTCGTATTTATTATTCTTGCTAATTTTTATTACTGATAAATGACTGATATGGAACAGAGAATTACCTCAGCATCATTTATTTATTTGATACGTTAAATTTGGAAAGAAGAAATAACATTTATGGTTGAATCAAAAGAATATAATTTTTACATAAATTAACACACTAACAAAGAAAATATATGTTCTATGAATTTTTATATGCTGACCTTCTGCATTTTTTTAAATAAAAATTTAATTACAAAAATATTCGTTAATTAAGGTTGAAATAACCTGCACATTTATAGGAATAAATACCATGCTCCAAGCTGAGACCATGAAATATTAAACCAAATTGTTAAAAGTAGCTCATAAAAATTCAAAAAAATTTTACATGAACTTGACTTAAAGGTTAAAGGTTTAATTACTAAAAGAAAAATTGTTACAAGGTTAAAATAATTTAATACTTCACAAAAAATATTTCTGTAAATTTGTGAAAATATATGAAATTTTGAACTCGTAAACATTACAATTTTGCTATTAATTTAAGTTACTATTATTCCAAATATCACAACAAAACTATCAAAGCTCTTGGAAAGTTTTCAGGGAAAGTTTTCAGATGGAAAATTTTCCAAGGGATTTCAGCTTAAGGCTCTTTGAATATATTTAAAAATGCAAATGATTCAAATCTCATGTTATCAAAACTTGAAAAATTGACTTGTTTGAAATCTTTATTGACTTAAGCCAGGATTTTGTTGCATATCTTGATCAAATGAATTCAGTTGAAGTTACACTAACAAGGCCTCGTTTGAAATTCTTACATAACTGAGGTCATAGCATGAATCTAGATCTAGTAAAAAGGCTAATTTAGGGGAAAAAATACATCCAGACTAAGCCCTCTCAATACTGTGAGAATCTAGCAACCTTCAAAAAGTATCCAAGTATACTATTAAGCTCTAAAAATGAAATCTTCCAATTCATTTAAATTTCCTTTTACCTACAGAGTGCAACTGAAACAAAACATGTATTTCAAAGATATTTATAAAACTTATGCGAGATGTAAATATTTACACATTTCTGAAGCCATATAGCACAGGGGAGAAAATGAACCTTAAAATATTTCAAGTAATACATACACTTACCCTAATTTTTCTAAGTATTTAATAACTCCACTTTCTTGTAAATAATAAGTAACTACACCACTTCCAGGGGACATGCTTGTTTTAATATACGGTAAAACACTCAGACCCTTTTCTACAGCCTTTTTAGCCAAAATGCCTTGAAATCAGAAGAACAATGATTAATTAAGTGGCATGGATAAATAGATTAATAAAACTTGATGAATTGATTATATGTAATTAAATAACAAAAGACTAAAAATGATTGAAATAATTCAAATTATCCAATTTAAGTGAGATAACTTGAGCATAAAATAATAATCCTGTGAATATCACTTTGATACAAACAAAATTGATCATATATTTAACTTATACCAGAGACATTAAATTTTTTAAATGATAATAACATGTTCTAATTAAACTTTTGCAACCATTTATGAATGAAAACAGATAAAATGTGAATTTACATACATTCTTTCTTCGGAAATTTACCTATTTTGAATGTCTTTATTACTATTAGAACTAAACTTTCAAGCTCCCACCCACTCCAAGGGAGAAATGGGAGGAGGTAACATATTTCAGACAAATTGCAGCTATGCAAGATCTCTAGAATTCTGTGTAGCTATTATTAGAGTAGGGATTACATTCATTAAAGTTGGCAATAATTGCAAACCAATACATTTTACATTAGTTAAAATATACATTTCATAAATTAGAAAATTTTACAAAGTAACAGTTATGTTTTAAAATTTTAAACTTTGACATTAAAATGAACTAAAAAACATTTCCTTTACATTTTTTCTAATTTATTACTTAAAAAAAATTATGGTAAATCCTTTTTTCAGATCATAATATTTTCATGATAAGTTGAAAGGGTAAAAGCAGTTGTTAAAACTACTGAAAAGCATGAACAATTATTATAGCTATGAGTTCTTTTTAATAATTTTTCATTAAAAAAGACTGAAACATAAAACCCCAAAAAATCAATTAACTGTTGTTACCTGCTCCTAACATTACAGATGGATTACTTGTATTTGTACAGCTAGTAATGGCAGCAATGACCACAGAACCATGACGAAGAAGATATTCCTTCTCATTGTAAATGAGTGGCACAGTGGTAGATAATTTTTCTGGATCTAAACCAAAGCCTTTGAATCCTACCTACAATACAATTTTATACCAAATGTAAAACATAGTTAAAAATATTACACTTATTTGAAGTGCAATTAGAATTTGAGTTAATAACAGCTCAAGTATTATTGTTTTCAATTAGATACAAAATCATGCCCATTATTAATAAGCAGAAGTATGAGAATATGATTTTGTCAACTGATGAAACATACACTGAAGTGACAAAAGTCATGGGATACCTCCTAATATTTTGTCCGTCCTCCTTTTGCCCGGCGAAGTGCAGCAACTCGACGTGGCATGGACTCAACAAGTCATTGGAAGTCCCCTGCAGGAATATTGAGCCATGCTGCCTCTATAGACGTCCATAATTGTGAAAGTGTTGACGGTGCAGGGTTTTGGGCACGAATTGACACCTCGATGATGTCCCATAAATGTTCGATGGGATTCATGTCGGGCAATCTAGGTGGCCAGATCATTTGCTGGATTTGTCCAGAATGTATTTCTAACCAATCGCGAACAATTGTGGCCCGGTGACATGGCGCATTGTCATCCATAAAAATCCCATTTGTTTGAGTATATGAAGTCCATGAATGGCTGTAAGTGATCTCCAAGTAGCTGAAGGTATCCATTTCCAGTCAATGATCGGTTCAGTTGCACCAGAGGACCGAGTCCACACTATGTAAAAACAGTCCAGACCATTATGGAACCACCACCAGCTTGCACAGTGCCTTGTTGACAACTTGGGTCCATGGCTTTGTGGGGTCTGCGCCACACTCGAACCCTACCATCAGCTCTTACCAACTGAAATCGTGACTCATCTGACCAAGCCACGGTTTTCCATTCGTTTAGGGACCAACCGATATGCTCACGAGTCCACGAGAGTCTCTGCAGGCGATGTCGTGCTGTCAGTAAGGGCACTCGAGTTGGTCTTCTGCTGGCATAGCCCAGGGAAGACAAATTTCGCCGCACTGTCTTATCGGACATGTCCCTCGTACATCCCACATTGATTTCTGCGGTTATTTGATGCAGTGTTTCTTGTCTGTGAACATTGACAACTCTATGCAGATGGTGCTGGTCTTGGTCGTTAAGTGCAGGTGGTCGGCCACTGCACTGTCCATGGTGGGATGTTATGCCTGAAATTAGATACTCTCGGCACACTCTTGACACTGTGGACCCTTCCGCGTTCAAAGTCTGTTAATTCTCGCCGTATGGCCATAATCACGTCAAAGCCTCTTCACATGAATAACTTGAACACAAATGAAAGCTCTGCTAAAGCACTTCACATTTATACATTTTCTACTTGATACTACTGCCATCTATATATTTTCATATTGCTATGCCATGACTTTTGTCACTTCAGTGTAAGATACTGTCAAAAGTCTTTAATCTGGACTCGTCGGGACTTCAGCGATTCTGGATTATCTGTTTTTCCGGATTATATATCATCAATTTAAATCTGGTAAGATATGCAGAAATTATAAAATTACAAAAATGAAACCATAACTTATGAAATAAAGAGCAATTATGATCTAAAGGGTATCAAAATTTACAAAAAAAAAAAAAAAAAAAAAAAGCTTAATATTTATTTGTTTACTTTATTAAACATTTCATTCAATGTACGTATGCGTAAAGCATACATTATGCATAGTCGAAATTAGAAAATTGCAACCAGAAAACTATTTGATGTGTATTCGTGATATTTATACTAATGAGGAATTTGATTTAAACCATATCAAAGACTGAGTACATCGAGATGAAATACTACATTTAGTAAAGAACTATAAGCCGAATAGAATAAAAACATCTGCCCTGAAGATAAGGATAGTGCTGACAGATCAACTTCCAGTCCATTGAGCGCCGCGACGTTTCCCCCCACCCCCACAGAGCAGCTTGAAATTGATAAACAGATTTCGAAACGGTTAGAAAAAAAGGATATGCCTTTACCCATTTTTTTTTTTTTTTTTTTTTTTTTTTTTTTTTTTGCAGCAATTACACTTTTTGTTTGATGGACGTCAAAACCTACTTTCGCTTTCTAGATCCTTTGGCAGCTCCAGAATCGGAAATTCTTTTCGACATAATCGAAAGTTCAAGCTTACTTTTATAAAATTGCTCCAACAGTCTGCAAAAAATAATAAGCCGGATCGAATTCGAAGATTAAGGAACAACGCAATCAGCAACATTAACTGAAATAGGTAATTAGATAATTTTAGCTTAGCTTATACCGTCCGTTATACATTAAACGCGCATGCGTAAACGGATATGCGCATGCGCAGAAAGTTTGTAGCTTTGAGGTCTGGATTATAGATCATTCCGAATTATGAGTTTTACAAGTTAATAATTAGATGAAAAATATTGTATTTATTGTTTTCAAATCACTTAGTTTTAAAGGCATATTAAATCTGAAAGGAATATTTTCCTGACTAGTCAACAAATTGCTTTTAAATTGTTGAGTTAGTTAATCAAAATCTCATTTAATTTGCCCAAAATATGAAATAAATTCAAAAGAAGCTTAAAATTCAGATTTCAAGTTGCAAATGTTTGAATGGAGGATCACATATATTTAAAATCTGATCACTGTATCTCAATGATTATAAATTTTTAAAATAAGTCAAAAGAAAACACCAAATAAAGATTAAAAATGAAATTAAAATAATAACTTAAGGGCTTTTTTTTTAACTGAAAAAGAATGCAATAAAGTACAAAACAAAACATTTTAAAAATACGTTAAATAGACCCAAAACAAACAATACTGTAAAAATAAGCAGTACAAAATAAGAATTCTCAAAATTAGAAACAGAAAAAACCACTAGGTAAATTAAAAGCAATGGGGTAAATAAATATTTTCAGTAAAATTTAAACCAATGAAAATGCAAAAAAGTGTAATAAATCAAAAGGTATTTCAAATCAAAAGTAAATAGATTGTAGAGTTAAAATTCTAACCCTAAAACAGGAATTGTTATAAAGGCAATATACCAAAAATTGGGAATATGCTACATGCCTTCCATTCTTTTGTATGGCCCCCTCTCAATTCTCACTTTTGGGGGGGGGGTGTATGTGTATGTGCATAAACTACTTTTAAAGCTTCTCAATCATTTTACTTTTAAGCAAATTTTCTTCTACAATAAATGAATTTCATTTCATCACAATTCTAACTTCTAAAATACATTTAATTTTTAACTTCAATAATTACTTTTAATTTCCAATGCTTTTTTAGCATTTTTGCACTTTCTCTGGTTTAAAATATATTTTAAATATTTATTTAGCCTGTTGCTTTTAATTTACCTAATGGTTTTCTTGTTTTAATTTTGGGAATTCTTATTTCATACTGTTTTCTTTTAAAGTATTATTTGTTTTACAGTCACATAGAAGCAAATAATACCTTGATGATAAAATAAAATAAAAAATGTTTCTTAAAAATTATTCTTTTAAATTGGATAAAATCTTGTACCTTTATTTGGCACTTTCTTTTGAATTATTTCAAGAATTTATAATCTTCCAGATGTAATTCAGATTGAAATTTCTAAACTTTTTTGTTTCTATATATATAGAGAGAGAGAGAGAGAGTTTGCTTCCTAGCTTTCACTTTTTCACCATCATATTAATAATAATGGAGTTATTTCTTTTTTTAAAAAAGTTTCAGTGTACCAACACAAAGTTCATTTTAAATTCGCGCTGTAATTTCATGGTGAATTTTAATACCTAAATGTATCACAAATGAACTGGTATTTCAGAGACATACTATGACTACTGAAGGCTTATCAAGTACCTTATTTACAAGACAACTCTGGAAGTCTTTCTTCATTTCTTGTACAGGTACCCGATCATGTGGCCGTTTTGGCCCACTTACAGAAGAAACAACAGAGCCTAGATCTAATTCTACAACCTGAAAGTAAAAATAATTATAAAGCATTATATTCATTCATAATTTAAACTAAATAACACCAAAACTAATCCTTTATTTCTTCAGTGTATAATACATTAGTGATATAGTGATAGCTAAAAAAGCATATAGCTATCTCCAGATGGAAAGTCGCTTAACAAAGTGACCTAAAAAGAACAGATGTATTCTATCTTTGATATTCTCAATGTTTTAAAACTTAAGCTTTTATGATATTTACCTTAAAAAGTACATTTTATCCATCATAGATATTTTAAGATGTTTATTGGAAGAATTTATCAACGTACATTGAAAACACATTTAAAATATAAAATACAGAAACTACATATAATTAAATATGTTGGTAAATTTCTGCAATTTTTTAATTCAAATTAAACATACATATACCTCACAATAAATACTTATTTAAAGAATACATTTCTCTCCCTGATACTGCAGAATTTTAGAATAAGTGAGATATTAAGCAGTATCAAATTCTATACTAGCGCATAATATTCAATCATCTTATAGTAAATGTTCTGAAAATTTAACAAACCCTTTAAATCCAAAAGGTTGTGCTTAAATTCCATTTTTTCCTCCTACACTTAATGCTGCTCTCTTTAAATACAACTCAATGTAAACAGTGAAAAATTTCTAAAACTTACCAATTCAGCAAAATTTTCAAGAGATAACTTAAATTAATAAATGTGTTTTTGTCATATTAAGACTGAAAGTATATTCAAGTTCAAAATTATCTGAATGTCCTACAGTTCACTTCCTTGAACAGTGTCAAACAGCACCTCAATAATTTCTTTACAAAAAAGAAAAACAACCTAACAACGTTTTTAAAAAAGGAATTTTCCAATGGCCAGAAAAATGACAAAAAGTCACAGAAAAAATAATTCTTGTGTGCTTCAGAGAAATTTGCTTATGTTTTTTGAACTGTTTTTTGTATTTATCATCAAAAACATAAAACTTAAAAAAGTGATCCAATATATCAAGCTTTTCTAATTTTACAAAATTAACTTCAGAGTGTAACAGAACAGTAAAAAAATTTATTTACATAGTCTACAGTTATCTTTTTTTTATTATTTTATTATTTCAAAAAGAAATAAAATTTTGATTAAATTTTTCTGTAAATTAGCACTGTATCTATCATCTTCAAAAGCTAGAGCTTACTTTTTTGTTTTTCAAAAAAGTAAAGCAATCTGATTTCCTATACAAATTAAATAGATTATTAAATTTACTTATGTAGTATTTCCTAGTTCTGAATATTTGTACATCCTACTTAAATGCATGAATAAAGTTATTAGTTGTACTAATGTTATTTTTTATGACTAACAAGAAAAGGGCATCATGTGTTAAATGCATAGTAAGAACACACCACAATATATTTGACACACAAAATTGAAACAAAATATTAAAACAATAATTATACAAATGATATTTTCAGAAGACACAGAGGAAACATGATAAAATACACAGATGTAATAGGAAAAATTCACTGATAAAATGATGAGCTGATGAAGGTAAAATATATGCCAAATTACAAAATACAGAGAGAACACAACTATCATATTTGCAGTAGACCAAAATGATTTAAAAACAAATGTTAAAAACCATATATTTTTTTTAATGACCATACTAAAGGGGAGATGTTTCTCAATTAAATGAATTAAACTAAAAACTCTGAAATACTAGTACAGAATATGACTAAAAGCTAGGCGATCAATCAGAGCACGTTGTATCAACAAAGAAATGCTTCAACTTGTAACAAGTGTTACTTGCTTACAAAATACTTACACTTATAAAAATATGCAAATTCTTGTCTTTTAATAGATTGAATACATATCTTGAGAGTCTGATTACTTAAAAAAATGTTTCAAAAAGCTCTGAAAAAAATTATTCAGTTTTCAAATGAAAACACATTGGCCATTTTACTTATAACAACTCTACTGATTAATTTAACATCCAGTACCTGTCTTAAAATTAATAATCAGTCAGTATCAGTCAGTAATGATCAATATCAGTGACAATAACATCAATAATATCTATTTAAGCAATCCTGGCACTATATAAACACACACTGCTAAATTTCACTTCATGCTATTGCAGAACGTGATGAAAATAGGCCCTAAAACAGTGACTAAATCCTTGTAATAGATGTGCATTTTAACAAATGAATTATTTCACAGTTTTTACATTTAAATTTTTCTTCTTTAAAAAATTTAGTGCATCACAAAATTCACTATTTTGCAACTATACGTGGCTACTTCATGGTGTTGGAAAGCTTCTTTAGAACAGGAAAAAATTGTAGGAAGAACCCCATAAAAAACTTCCAGAAGAAATTTATTTACCTATATTTCATGTTCATATTATTTTATCCATATTTTATCAACATATTAGTTATTATGCTATTAATTTAGTATTTTAATTTTTTGCATAGTTTAAGAAGCCTTATTTTTATGTTTGCATGGATTTTTCGGCTCTACTCTTATATGCGCCCTAATATCATCAAATGTGGCGATATGTGTTCTGCACTGGTTTTTGGCTCAATCTCGTGTTGAATGGCAACCCTGTTGACGTTGAAAAATCTTTTGCTGGAGTGGTTTAATTGCTCGTTGGTTCGTGTCGTGCGCGTTTTGAAATGGCCCGAGTTGCAATGATAGACATGGTGGCAAGATTTCAGTCACGTATTTTAGATCGTGCGGAAAATAAATTTAGTATTAATAGGTACAACGTTTGAGTTGATAATGAGTCTTTTGTTCAAAGGTGTGATTATGAGGATTGAAGTGTATTTTTGGAATTTCTGTGAGACTTTTAAAACAGAGTTCGAAATGCAGAGCTGCTATGAGAACTCGGACAAAGAATGACTGATAGTTCTTGCATGTATTTGCAGTCAAATGGTTGCTGGTAACGTATGTGGCTGTGAGCGGAGTTTAAGATTTGGATTGTGGTTTGTGTGTAGTAAGTGAACTTTGGAGGAAGATTTTAATCGTTACTTTCAAAATTTTGAATCTCAGAAAGACATGTGATATAGCAAAATCATGGTACTTTTGTTCAGAGACGTTGTGTAACTGGTGAAATTTTATTCAGGAATGCATTATGGTAAGTGCTTTTATTTTGCTGTTTTTATTTTGTAGAATGTTTTTTTACTGAATTTCTGACTTTATTGTTGTTTTTTGAATTGTTATGTAATTTAGTTTAGTTTATTTGGTTGATTTGTGTGCAATGCCTAGATTGTGCACTTCGTAGATTTTTTTAAAGTTTAAAGAGAATGCTGTGTACATGGTATTCTTTGAAAGTTATTGTTGTTATGTTAATTTATTGATGCGAGATGTGCATAGTATGTAGATTCCTTCGCTGCCTAGAAAGTGCAATTCGTACATGTTTTTTGAAGTTAAAACATATCGCTGTGTACATGGATTCTTGTCAAATATTTTTGGCTAGAAACTTTACGTTTTTGCTATCTAAATTTTTTGTTTTTGTTTCGGATTTTTAGCTTAAATTGTGTCTTCAAAACATGGTTTTTGCATGTCCCAAAACCCCGTTTTTGGAGACATTTTAGGCTTAAAATTCGAAATGTAGACAAAAAATTTAGATAGTAATATGGCGGTGTGTAGTTTCTTGCCAAAAATGTTTGAAACTCCACTCAACAATTTGGCAACCTGAAGGCGCATATAAAAGTAGTTCTGATTTTTTGTTAATTTATATTTGCAATTATATTAAATACTAATGTTATAACCTTTCAAAGTATCGCAGAAAATGCAAAAGAAAAGTTTGAGAACCAGTAAGAAAAAAGTTAGGACTTTAGCAAAAGTGATGAAGTGAAGACCAACTGCATTTTTATAATACTTTGAAAGGTTACAATTCATAGAAAACAAAATTAAAACAAAAAAAGAAAATTAAATTAAAAAGAAAACAGATTTTACATTACGCCCCACACATTTTGTGTGCCACCTTTATTTATTAAATATCATGTTCTTTGCACTTAAACAATGAATTTCAATTCAATAGGAATACCGCAATATAATTTTAAAATGAGCATATCTTTAGAATTTCTGATACACAGTCTCGCATACTGGAGATAAAAATGTTTTTTTTTTCCCATACAGTATTGCCATTGCTCGCTTTGAAATCGTCAAGTTTGTTAATAAAAAATTCATAAAAGCATTACAAAATATGAAATAGATAATAAAACAAATTTCAAATTAGGGGTTCCAGATGCCCATATTCTGTGCCATTATTCAAATTTTGATGGCTCTAGGTACCGTTGTTTTATCGCAATGTGAGAAACATATATACATTTATGTAGATTCTTCATTATTTAATTCCTATAAATATAACACAAAGCTCTAATATTTGGTGGAAACAATTCGAAAAGTGAACCCACATTTACAGTGAACCAACGCAAAATGCCAAAACAAAATTAATAGCCCTTCTGGGCTAATGCCCTTCGGGTTAATAAAATTGAATCTACAGGTATATCATAAAAGCAGTAAAAAACAACAGAATTTTTTTTTTTTTTTTTTTTTTTGCTATCAGCTGCAATAACATATTTTGAAATTTTGGTGATGACTAGATAAAGAAGAAAAAATTAGCTCTTATCCTACTGAACTTTAATCTTAACTACATTTCATAATGAAATTTGAAAAAGAATATCATATATTCATTTCTACCATATGAGATTTTATGTACTGCAAATATGTAAAATTTTATATCAGAATCCTTCAGGTCCATTAAGATAAAATAAAGCATTAAAAATCATGTATTTTCAGCAGGTTCAGCAAGTTTCCTATGTGAGAGAGAAAAATCAACTGGAAGAAACTGACCTTTTTTTTTGGGGGGGGGAGCTTATTTAATAGTAATATTTGTATTTTATTTATATGTTATGTTACTATGTCACTAATTAATTTAAATAGCTTTGTTATATGTATATTCAGCTAATAATTGCTGAATATACATATGACAAAGCTATTGTTCCACACCTGCCAAGAAGTAATGAAAATGTAATGAGGCAAAGTTTCATGTGTCCAAAATAGTGACATGGCATTTTACAATGCCACTCAAAAATACTTGTGTGGCAACCCAAGCACGCACAGAGTATGTTTCTTTTGACCGATGTGCTGTGCTAAAAGTAGAAGTGCCAAGTTTGAAAATGTAGAAGTGCCAAGTTTGTACAATTCTCCAACACCTTCTTAAGGAAAAACAGATTGCTCTATAGACACGGGAGAACAATGGGAGAAAAAATTTCTTTAGAAAAAGGGTTTTATAACCACTGTTTCTTGCTTTCTTTATTTTACTGATAGATTGCTCCTGTATGGAATTCTTAGTATGCTACCATTATGAAATGGCTGTTGCCCTTCATGGACTTATTTGGCAAATTCTTCATGGACAAATTAATCAGCAATACGTTCATGAATGCTCTCCAAAGTCAGCTTACAAGTTCGTAACAAGTTCAGTAGGATGTGGATAATCAGATGCACATGCATTATACATGTGCATGCGTTTGTATTTGCTATGAAATCTGCTACGAAATGGATGTTAAATCCATAAGCTTGAATGGATTTTGAAACTGAGTTTTAATAAGTAATATATTTATCCAATACGAGAAGGAAATAAATTGAATTAATTATTAAAAAACTATCTACATTATCACTCACATGATGTAAGCACGTATGAGTTCTACAACACTTTTTGCCAGATTTTTTTAAGTTAAATTATTTTGCATGTTATTTTAGAAAATAAAACATTTTCAAATAAGTTAGATTTTTGTTAATTTATCCCCTTCAGCAACCCTATGAGAGCTTCACTGCTCAATTCTTTCCTTTTTTCCAACTGCCTTGGAAAAAATTCAAACCTGCTACTCCATTTATGATAGTTATCAAGAAAACCAAATTTCTTTTTTTCCAAATTAAAAAAAAAAAAAAAAAAAAAAAAAAAAAAAAAAAACGAGATTTCTGCCACACTTAACCTAACCCAATTAAAAGAGGTGGAAAAAAAGAAAATTTTATGTTATGGATTGGAATAATATACCCACTTCAGAAAATACTGGATCCTGATCTGGTTTATTATAATCTCTATACATATGTACAGCTTCTAAGTAACTTTTCACATATTTCAAATGCTTTTCTTCACGACCTATATTGTATAAAATAATTTAAATTAAACTTTATGCATATGTTACTATAAAGAAAATCTTCATACAAAGAAAAAAATGAGCAGGCACAAAAATACACATTTTATCATTATTCACATTTTAAATACAACAGCCATTTTAACACAAAGGTGTAGCCTCAAATCTACATTAGATATAAAAAAATTTATTTTGTTAGGGAAATGTGTGAAATGAACTTATTAATTCTTACCTGTCTGTTTCAAATAAAGTATACTTTTGTCATCAACAGGAAAGAAGCCAACAGTAGCTCCATATTCAGGGCACATATTTGAAATAGTAGCTCTGTCAGCAATTGATAACTCTGCTACTCCAGGACCAAAAAATTCTACAAACTTCCCCACAACACCAACTTGTCTGAGATGCTGAAAACAGTATATAAATAATTCCTTTAGAATTTTACAAATAATTATGTCATCTTCAACAAGAAACCTCTTATGCATAAAGAAGTTATACATTAAATATGGGTTTTTAAAAAGTTACTACTAAACTTTAGAGAAAAAAATGCAATTGAAATTATATGACTATTTCTTACGACCATTACACAGGAAAATAAACATTACAATTATACATTACAAAGTTCTGAGATTTTAGCTGATTAACAAAAAGCATATACATCAACATAATAGTCTTAATGAGATTTCTTTATGGAATATCTTTATTTCTCTACAGAAAAATGCTACAGCAGAGTTGTGGACTTCAAGTGAATACTGATACAATGAAAGAACTGTGCACAGAAATGCATAATAAAATTAGACAAGCATGCTAAGTTCATTATTTAACGTCACACAAATATTCTAAAAAATTACACGCAACTCAATAATTATCAAAGTCAATAACAAAATGTTTATAGAAAAGAAATACTTAAATTATTTAAAAAATTTAATCAGATTGATACTGCAGACTATAAGCAACTCAACCAATGGAAAAATCCTGCTCCCTTTTTAAGAAAGCTTATTTAAAATAATTGAATAGCATAGTTCATCATATTTTCATTATATGTAACACAAATAAGAGCAGTTAACTAACATAAAACAAATAATGAAAATCTTTAAAGAATACTCATGAGACATTTTTCACCACTACCTATATTGCAACAATATGCACTCGTGAGTGAATAACTGACTTAAATTCTTATTTATAATTACCTTAGTGATAGTAAGAACAACATCAGTTGATGTCACCATAGGATTTACTTTGCCCACTAGCTTATATCCAACCACTTGAGGTAGAACCATACTAATAGCTTGCCCTAGCATTACAGCCTCTGCTTCTATACCACCAACACCTAAAAGTAAACACATGTAATTTTGAAAACACTCCTTTGACATTATACTATTGAAATGATTTCATAAAAGTCTGGAACATAATAATCATATCTAATATATTCTAGAGTGAACATTTCAAAGCAATCATCACTGAAATTTAATTATGTAAATTTCTGCCTCAATTATTTTTTTAAAAAGTTTCATATTTTAGCTATCTTAATTATCAAACCATAAAATTCTGGAATGATTCCATAAAATTTTAATCACTATAAACAGATAATTGCAAACAGTAAATATTTCCAAATGGAAAAATCAAGATTCCTACAGAATAATTTTAGAAATCTTTGTCATAAATAATTTTAGTAGAATGGTTTACATAGTACTAATTACAATCAGGCACAAATTTTTATTTTAACAGCTGCAATGAATTACAAATAAATTTAAAAAATTCAACCTAAAAATTTTATATAACAGTCTAACACTTCAAACAGCTACTAACCTAAAACATTTTTTAAATACATAAATAAGGAACATTTAAAAAAATGCAATTAAATCTTTATATGCCTCAAAAATATAAGACCTAAAAAAATCTAAGTGATTACAAATGACAAAGTTTAGGAGTTAAATTCCAAGAAATTTCAAAACCACAAAATATAAAATCTTGCATTTAAAACAAGATGTTAAAAATAGTAATAACAAATAGGGCCAAAATATTTGATATCTTATTTTATCATTAGATGTCATTCATATGAATACCTTAAATTTATGTAAACCAACACTTATTTAATGAAGAAAGACTTAATTATCCCGAACACAGTAAAGCATTTGTTTCATTGCATTACATGCGTGTGAAACTACTACAAATACTTACCTCCAAGTGGCAAAATCTGCAAACCAAAAACAAACACTTTAGATACAACAAGTTTTTCTTTGAATTTAAAGTTTCTTTAAATATAAAGTATTTAAAGATTTTTAAAATATCTGATCAACTTTTACAATTTTTTTCAAATATTTTAATGATTAAAACCTTCAAAATATACATACGTCATGGAAGGGAAACCTTCATACAGACAACTTTCCAATAGAAACAAGTTTGCATTAATATTATACAATGAGAAGATCATGAAAGCCCCACCTGCTTAACAATTTTTTTCAATTAATAAACATTCAACCAGTTGAATTTCAATTAAATACTGCATATTTTTATATGATGAAACTTGTTTAGAAGAACATGCCAAATAACAAAAATATTTGTTTATCAAGTACGCTCAACATGGAGCTCTAAATTAAGTTTTATTATTTTTTACTATATTATCTTTTATAGTTCTTATAATAATTATACCAATCCAGTACAAGTTCCTGAATCTAAAATCAAAATAAATAAATTTCAGTGAAGAAATACAAGATTTTTTTTTTTTTTTTTTTTTTTTTTTTTTAAATTATCAGATTTAAAAAATCAGGTTTAATCAATAAATTAAACATGCTTTATCACTACTCTTCCCCCTCTCTCTATTTATATATTCAAGATAAAACATATGCAATTCTGAATTGTACTTTAAATTAGCAATAGCCCCTTAATCCCCCCTTTTGGTTTCGGCCCTCCCCCCCTCTACCATAAAAGTGGTTATAATTTTTTCAAAACTGCTCATCTTACCCTTTTGCACTCCATACAGTTCTTAAGCAATCAGCTTAATGAAAAATCTTACTATAAGTACTGTGATAATCTAACTATGTGCTCTGCCTACACTTGCTACCTAAGGGATGTTTCTTGCTTCACTGATTCTATTAAAAATATAGTGCATCATGATCAAAATTGCAGTGTGGGGATTGTCCCCAATGTGATGTGCCATGACAGTAATTAACAAGAAATAAAGCTATGTTTGGACTATCACCTGATTTTGTGATTCAAAACTTCCCTGCACCTTCTACTAAGTAATCAAAATTTCAAGTGATCTTCTAACTTCAAACCACTCGCAACTTCAGAATAGTTGGAGTCTTCACTAAAGAAGCACTCATTTAATATTAAATTAATCGCAATGAACAAAAATATTTTCATAATATATATATATATATAAGTTTTTTCTACAGTTTTAAAATAAAGAGTAGTGTTTTGTACTATAGTATTGTTAAATTAACACTTAAAAAATGTATATGGCTGAAGGCTGAAAAGTTTTTTTAATCCTCATTCTGACATAAATCTGAAGATAGAGACAACATTTTTCTTTTCCTAGTCTGATCTACCCATGTGTTAAAATTTGGTTTTTATAGATAACCAGTGTTAAAATTTGATCTGGAACCAAACTGGCAGTACTTAACTTTGTGCAGTAGTATGGCACTAGGCCATAAACTGACTCCATATTTAGCTCATCAGTGCTTTTTCAGTCACTTTAGCACAGCATTCACACTTGAGTATCATTTGAGGCAGTTAAAATGGCAGTCAACTCACTTTTACTATACTCAAATAGTAATGTAAAATCAACAGAGTACCTTTCATAATATGCAAAATTTCATAGTTGTTGGTTCCAATTATTTTTTCTTTTAAAAGATATACTCTTAAATAAATGCTTAGAGTACGAAGGTTTTTTGATATTCCTTTGAAAAAAGAGAATAAAACCCACATATTTTATAATCTTATATGGCCATAAAACAAAATTCCTTACCCCATCCAACTATGCCTAAACCATTGATCATGGTTGTATGAGAATCAGCTCCCACTAAACTATCAGGATAAAGAAGTCCATTGTTATTGAACACAACACGTGCAAGATATTCAAGGTTGACCTGATGGCATATACCGGAGCCTGGTGGAACTATTGTCATATTTTTGAAAGCTTTAGATCCCCACTAAAAGAAACAAATATTCACAGTTACAGCAAACAGCACATGAACAACAATAATACATATGGTAAGACAACTAGTTTACGAATAATAAATGAATATAATGCTACAATGATTTAACAAAGTTTACATTTATCAAGCTTTGATACATCATACAGTTATAGTATTTCTATACTGTATGATGTACTTTTCTACAGCATAGTATTTCTATACTGTAGAAAAACACATAGCATACTTGCCAACCTATGACACTCAAAAATCAGGAGATTTTTTTTAAGAAATCAGGAGATTTTTCACAATGTTAAAAAGACTTTTAAATGATAAAAATATAGTTTTTAATAATGAATTAACTTTAAATAGTAACTAATTCTTAAATGCAAGTAACACAAAAATATCTTACACATAAAAAACATTTTTATTATTTGCATCATTTAAGAAAAAAAAAAAAAAGAAACTTTAATTAGTTTTGTACAAATGTTATAAACAGTGGCAGATTTTGCTTTCTTTAAGAAAGAAACTTCATAATTTTGTTCACAGCAATTGCCACATAGGCCTGCTTTCACTAATAAAAGTTTTTCTAATGTGTCATCACTAATATTAGATCTAAATTTAGTCCTTGTTTTCGCAACAACACTGAGAATCCTCTCACACTCTGCATTACTATGGGGAACTGTCAATATGGCCAACACAATTCTGGACAGTTCACTATATTTTAAAATTCCATCAGCACCTTTCAGTTTTCCAATTAAACTCCACTGGGTGTCAATCCTAGCTGATTTTATAACTTCATTCAAGTTTTCTAATTGTAAACTGCTGTTATGCAGCTGTTGGAACTGTTTCAATTTTTCCTTCCTTTTAAAACTCCTTTTAAGATAATAAATATCAACAATGTGTTCATCCACATTTATTGGTAAAGAAGCTGCTTCTTTTTCAGCTGCTAAATTTAAGAGGTGACAGGTGCACCTCATAATCTGCAAATCTGAATTTTCCTTTCTTAAGATGCCTGCAACACCAGTCTTCCCAAGCCTACCAATACTGGTGCATTATCGGCACCAAGTGCTAAGCAATTATCCAGAGGGCCTGCATTTTCTTTTAAAGTTTTAATAATTAGCTGTGCTATATTAAAGGCTGTCAAATGTCCTTCTAAAGTGGGAACAGAAAGTAAACTGCTCTCAATTTCTGAAGACTCTGGATTAAAAAAAAAGAAACAACTGGATACAGTTTTGAATCGGTATTATTGCTTCCATCCATAGAGAGGCAGAACGGAGCTGTTTTAATGCAATCAATAACTGAGGATTTATTTTTCAAACCCATTTCTTTAACAATTGCACCTGTTTTGGTTCTTGCACTTGAGTATTTCTTAGCGATTTCACTATCGGGAAACATTTTTCTAAATAAAGCTGCAGCGTGATCTGGTGCATTCAGTAGGCAGGTTGTGCTCCAGTAAAAAGGCAGAGAACAGACATTCTACATTAATAACTTGTTGGTCCTCTGTTTCCAAAGAAAAATTTAATGTTTCATTTTTTAAAAACAACTCATGTTATCCTTGTGCTTTTGTGTACGCACATGTATGAGAACATCCGCCCTTCCACCATGCGAAATCAAAAAATCGCAACGACAGGCAGTACACATCGCAAATTTATTACATTTCCTTGAGGAAATTATGGTAGGAAAGTCAACTGTGTACGATTTTTGAAACATACACGAGTATTTCACCTTTCTTGCAGACATAACAAAAGATGATAATTTCTAAAACTATTTCCCGAAGGCACGTGTACTCACACAACTCAGGACAAAATGAATGAAATAACCAAAGAACATCCAAATAATACCTTGCTTTGTCCTCATTGGCTAATATATGCCAGCTGACACGCAGTGGAGCTTGATACCCATTAGAGAACTAGAGAACGACGTTTCTGGATACGTATAATGCTCTCACTCACAAAGCAGAAGTTATCTCATTCGCAAGGTTTTGTTTTAGATATAATCTAGAGAAAATTCAATTGCTTTCAGACATCCAAAAGCACTTTTTTCTTTTTGTTGTTCATATTACAAAGTATTAAGCCAAGTTGCATAAAAATCGTGAGAAATTTTAAGAATAAGAAAAAGTCGGGAGAAATATGTTGTAAATCGGGTTGGCGGGTGAGCGGTCGAAAATCGGGAGTCTCCCGCCTCAATCGGGAGAGTTGGCAGCTCTGACATAGTAATGAAAGGAAACGGGCTACAGGTAATTGTGTACTATTATAAACATCATTTGCAATACTTATGAATTACAATGATATATACAGTTTGATTTGGATAATTAGTTATACCAATTATTTAAACCTTATCTTCCTTAAAAGAAGTGATTGAAAGGCTTTCTCAGAATTGTTTTATATATGCTAACCTAAAATCTAAATACACATGGCAATAGTCATAAAAATCCCCATACAACCTACTTATCCAACCACTAGACACTAAACTTATGTTGAATTACTATTGTTTCATGACTTTGGCCATTTGATGGTCACATTCATAGATTCAAAAAATTAAATACCTGAAACAAATGATATCATGTTTTACATAAAGAATATTTTATGCTATCAAAGATGAGGGAACATAATTGGAAACACATGTTACACATGCAATTTTTTTCAATAAAGAAACTAAACTCGTCTTCATGTACGAGTAAAATAAGCAATATTAATATGAAATATTTTCTAACTTACACATTATTTATTATTTCCTTTTTATTCAAGTGATTATTCATATAAAATCTACTTTTTTAAATTAGATATCTTATACATTCCACATATTATTGCTATTACGCTTCTGTAAACACCTCTTATTCAAAACTTTATTTTCCTTAATACCTAAATAAATATAATTTATCTTCCAGAAACGTAATAATATTGATAAATTTTGCATAATAAGATACAGGCATAAGCAAAATTTTGGAAATACACTGATGAAGCAGGCCAAAAATCACAAGATAAACAATAGAAATGTGAAATAGGAAGAATTTTGTTGGGAAATAATTCATATCAGATTACATTTTCCTCGTAACATATTCATTCCAGACTATTCCATTTAATTTATATTCTCTATGTATCTACCATAATGTAAGCAAAGAATACATACATTATAATGCATGAAATTATTCAACTGCAAAGAAATTTACTCTAAATCCATAGAATCAACAAATCATATGCTATTTTACTAGTATATTTTAACCTGCAGTCCACATTGTAGATTATCATGAAGTATAATAATACCATTATTCCTATAATTCTTGAAATTTAAGTAATGATGTACTTGATGATACATACTTTCTAAATATTAGAATGGTAAATTTCACTATATTCCATTTAGGATGCAAGCTAATTTAATAATGTAACTAAAAAATCTGCTAAAAATTTCTTCAAAATCAAATTAAATTACTGCAAATGATATGTAAAATAGCCTTCCTTAATTTTTTCTTGAATTTATAACAAATTATGGATTTAGGAACAATACTAAAATAAGAAATTGTACACTTTTAAATCCCAAATTTACATTTTAATCTTTGGGAAAGTAAGAAAATATAAAATCAAGAACAAACTTATGGCAGCCTCACACACAAATTTTTACATTTTGCTTCACCAAGGAAATATAAGTTTCATTTAACTACTATTAAACTAAGCTCTTCATCATCCATGGTTTCCACCAATCCGTCTTCTGCACAGATGGTTTTCTTCGGTAATATGACTAGCACAGACATTCACGATCAATGTGTATAAATTCATGCATAACACAATCATGTTCTTAACAATATTAGTCACTTTAAAAAGGTCATCATCATGAAAGGTTTCATTGTACATGCAAAATTCTTATACCTCACATATTCTAAATAATAAATTTTACCTTTAGGAAGGCAAATCTTTCTTTATTTCTTTCAAATTCTAGATCAAGGTTCTTTTCTAAAGCATCAGAACTAAAGACAAAAATATGACATTTAAAAATCAACACACATTAAAAAATATATGACATAAAAATACATAATGCTACAAAATAATGAATGCATAAGTAAACCAATGTGCACAGTTTTTTTAATAGTTTAAAAATAAAACTAAGAAAACACAGCAAATCTTATACTGAAAACTGGATTTCTAAAATTATTTATAATCCAATGCTTCAGTATAATTTATGACTAGAAAGTGTGGTGTGGTGTATTTAATTATGGCAAAGCACACTAGGGCTATTCTTTTCTTAATACATCTCTTTCTCTATCAAGTGGTAATCAACGTTCATTTGCGTGTATAGCAGTGAAGTATTGCTAAAACTTTTTTTAACATGTTCACTGCCCATTGCCACTTTTGCGCAGCTAAGAGTTACTTACTCGCTTAGCACTTGTTTTAGCTGTATTGACGCGACAAGTCAAGGCATGTCTGTAAGAATCAACTCGTAGTGGGCTTCTGCAAAGAGCTTTGTCTAAAAAAAGCCAACTATGAGATAATTCGTAGGACACTTTTTTCTATAAAAAAATCCTGTAAACTTTTTAATGATTGTTACAAATCATAATTAGTATTTTTAATAATATAATATGATATGATTAAATCAGTTTGGCTTCTCGGACCGGAATTCAAAAAGTGCCTTGGCAGTCAACGTGTTAAACACTTTTATGCTGCTCCAATTTGTTTCACATTTAAAAATAGTATTGGTCATTGTTTTATCAACAATAAAGAATTCATTAAAGACAATCTCAATCATGCCAAATATCACACATGATATTTTTTACTTATTCTAGATCATTGCTTCAAAACTGCCCCCCTTTTTTTTAATTCTGATACTATTTTTAATTCAATGTAAATTTCATCCAAAGTTTGATTTCCAAACTCCTACCCACAAATCTAAATTTGCACTATTTAAATGCTCCAAATTTTTTCGAACACCAAATCATGCATGCAGCTAACTTAATTGCTTCTATTCATTGTTTTATTCTTTTTGTAGAAGGGAAAAATCCTATTTTTCTCTTTGTTGTGATAACAACTTTAAAAGATCTAATGGTCATCATGTAGCATGAAATCTACCACTTTTAGTTATTTATTTATTAGGCACTACTAAAATGCTGCTTGTAAACTGCAACGTACGATACACTGTAAACTGCAACGTATGATACACTGATGAAGGGGAAAAAAGATTAAAATAACAACCAACACAGTTTTGGCACAGTTTTCCCTAAAGGACTCTATATGAAAACCATTCACAACTCTTGAAGTCTCTCTTCGTTAAAAGTCCAACGGACAAGCAGCATAGCCAATGATCTAACAGGGAGTTTGGGTCACAGGCAAATTGTAGTTACTCCTGAAAATGTCGTAACTGTATCTATTATTCAGCAAAATTCAAGGAAATTCATCCAAAAAATTGCAGTAAAGACTGGTTTGAAGTGTTCCAGCATGCAGAAAATATTGATGTATTTTTTGTGGTTATTGGGATGGTATGTGTGTGTAAATGTACTGGTGTGTATGTTGGACAAGAGAGAGCAACACAATCAATAAATGCATACAGTTTACTTAGAAAAATGGCCTGACCATAATTGCATGCATAACTCCTTTTAGTGTTACATATGAATGAAACCAAATAAAAAAATATAGAATAAATGAAAATATAGAAACCAAATAAAAAAAATTGAGCATAATTAGGATGACCAAACAATAAAAACAAAAATAAACAAAAATTATTAGTTAAAAATGTTTTAATGCATGTTTGGATGATCACTAAAAGTATCAAATCAGTGTAAAATATTTACAAAAAATTGTTAAAATGTCCGAAGAATACCAAGCTTTAGAAGCTGTTTTTAAGTAACATTTTTTTCTGATTTAAGTAAAATCTTCATGCACGCAGAATTAACATTAAATAGTAAAAATTCTAAAACAACTTTAAAACTTCACAAAAACTATAATAAGAAAATTCTTCGACTAACAACTATAATAGACAAACGATGGCAAACTTGTGATAAACAGCATTCATCAGCAGCCAATAAATACCAATATAAATAAAATCGTTAATTTTTGAAAATTCAGTTAATTATAGAAGGAAAATAATATACCTCAAACTGAATTATTAATGTGCATATTAATTTCTGTCATCATTTAATTATTTTAGTGCTAAAAACAACTTCAGTATATTTTTTTTCATTTTTCAAATAACATTACACTACTACAGTATCTTGATATTAACTATACTGATAAGCAAATCACAAAGTGACTATTGTGGCCAATTTTGCAAAGTGAAGATGTAGGAACTATAACATTACATCTGCGTTTCTATTTTTTCCAATCTCAGTGTAATACACAAATTTAAAAATACATGAACTTTCTCACATTTCAGCTATGTTTTATCTCAATAATATTTCTTTTTGATTAACTTATAGTCTACCTATAAATATTTTACCAATTGTATTCTTAATAAAAGATATTTCAAATGCTGCATATTATGCACAACCCCTTTACTAATGAATCTTTACATATGTATTTTACTCACATTTCATTTCTGTTAATTATTTGATGTTTCAATATATAATATATCACATCATACAAGGCTACACTATATCTTTTTTAGATCAAAGGCTATGCCAAGAACTCTTTTTCCTTTCATTTAGGGAGATTTATCAACTCTTAAAATTTTTCAATGCTGAGTCTAAAAATGTTTGCCATCACTGTAACAGTTTCTCATAAAGTGAAAGAAATAACTTTTCAAATGAAGGGAAAAAGTTAAAAAATGAACAAAATCAGCATGAAGATTTTACAGAAAAGTATATTTAAATGTATAAAATAAAAAAATTTTAAAATATTAGTCAAATTTACATATTTCTTAATGATTTACATATGAAAACTAGTATACTAAAGTACGTTGATTATTCAAAATTTATCAATTATTAATGTAAAAATGAAAACTAAAAATCTGAAAAATATTTATTAGGATTAAAAAGTAGCAAAAAATAAGTTTAAAACATGTTAAAATGTAAATTACCTTACGTAATATACAATAAAATATTTGAATTTTTAATTAAAGTACTTAATACTATAAAAAAATAGTAAAAAAATGCATTAAAAGCACAGTTTACATCAATAAGGACTCACTAACCCTATAGATCTTGCTTTATGCATAGGACAGGTTCCATATTGAAGAGGAAAATTAGGATGAGGTGAAACTATTGGATTAGGAAGTTCTTTTTTTATATGAGCCATTTTATTACAAACAGTGACATTATTACTGTTTTTCCTCCAAATTCTTGTGCGCTCACTGGAAGTATGTTCACTTTTAAATGCAAATAAAGGCTTTGCGGGACTTTCGCCATTTGTATATTTTGAGCAACAATTAAACTTGGGAGAAAATGAGTTGCTTTCTTGCTTTATGGAAGATCCAAAGTGATATTTCTCATTTCCGGAGGTAACTCGACTCCCGCCACCAGGGTTAGGGCTGTCACGGAGAGTGCTGCAAAGGGGGGAGAAAAGTTCCAAGTGTAGTAAGAGCAACTTTCACAGAAAGCAGTTGTTTACACATAAGCAGCAATGAAGAATTTTATTGTAACACTTTAGTTCTAAAGAGAAATTTGATACACTTCTGTTACATCAACTTTTAAATAAAATTCTTAGCAAAAGCTATTTAGCAAGCAAAATCCTTTAGTAAGCACAGCTATAACAATGAAACTCACATTTTGAATAATACACATTTAAAAAGTAAACTGATGATTCACAATGTTGGTACAAGATACCTCATGCCATTATACTTATCATTAAAGCAGATTCATATGAAATATACCTACCCAACATGCAGATGCGTGCAAATACATATAATAGAGCAAGATGTGGAAACAAGAGGAAAGGAAATCTGAGCTGGAAGTTTTATTCCCATTTCTATAGTTTAGTATTAAAATGAAGACTTCATTCAAGAGTAAAAATTACGTTTCATAATGTAAGACTTCCGGCTTTAATAAATAATGAAAGAAATAGCTAAACCATGAAATGAATATAATGCTTTCACTTAAATTAGGAAAAGAAAGGATACTTCCTGATTAACCACACTCCTAGTTTGGGGAAAATTTTTTGAGTGCATATGACAATAGTCAAGTCGTGCATGCACATATCTGACACATGTTTATGTATGCATGGATTTACACATTCTGTGTTTAACCTTCATTTCACTCAGCAGTATCCATTAGCAGTGAAAATTTAAACATTGGCCAAACAGAATTTTATTGCCACAAAATTTCTTATTTCTAAAAAAACAATTCTTTTTGTCATTATTTATGAACCAAAACAAAGCCTGGTGGCACAGCGGCTAGAGCATCTTGCAGCAGCACTACAGGTCCGGGGTTCGATTCCCAGGCTGGGCAAGGTCGACTCAGCCTTTCATCCCTTGATTTCCATCTCTTGGGTCGATAAAATGACCCAAGTGAACCAAGTTCGCTTGGGGACTAAACACTGGGGGGTCCTGCAACAAGCTGACCACTTGTTCAGGGTATATGCTTACGCAACCCAGGGCCCACGGTCAAGAAAGCAGATTTCAGACACTGCAGGCCTTGGCCCATTAGGGCTGTTATGTCTGAGTTTAGTTTTATGAAATATAAACAACCTAACACATGTTTCTTGCCAATAAACTGGTGACTCTTTGTGAAGATTAAGACACAGATAATTAGAAGGTATTAAAGAAAACAAAAAGTTTAAAACAAAAATTAAAACAAAAAGACAGAGAAAATGGAAATAAAGCGGGGGAAAAGGGAGCAGGACTTATAGATTTGTTTTCTGAGATTTGTGAAAAAATATTTAATTGCACCTGCTATCATGTTTTGAGAAAACAATTTATTTCTTGAGCTCTCGGACTTAATATAAAATTGCACTCTGTACATTTCACAGGCCAACTAATATTGTTAAGAAATCATATTAAAGCACTTAGAAAGATAGATATCTCAGACTAGATTTTAAAAATGGATTATACATAGAATTCACAGATAAGATATGAACACCAACTTTCATACCTTCATATAAAATTCTCCTGCATAGAACTTAAAATAGAGATAAGGCAAAGTTTTTATACTTTAAACTATACATCAGCAGATCATTATGGACAAAATTAAACAGAAAATATAAACATTTCTAATACAGATACAAAACAACTAATTTCCAATACAAAGATGAATAATCCCCTCCTCCTAAAAAAATCCAGAGAACGAGTTTGTTTATTGCATTCAAAATATGACACATAAACTACAGCAAAACTTTCATTATTCTTTTACAGTTCAATTACTTAGTTACATTTCAATTTAAACTACAAAAATTAAATTCTGTTTATTACAATAATATATTAATATGAATGCAAATGTATACCATTATAGTTAAAACAATCTCAAATGTTCCAAGTAGATATTAAAATAAAATTCAAACTTTTTTTTAAATTTACACAAATAAATAACATACTCAGCACTTACATAATTTAAAGTCTAAATTTTTTTAATTGCAAAAGCATACTCTTACTGATTGATTATACAATCAAAATCATTCAAAATTTGTTTATTTTAATTTATTGAACAGTAAATTCAACTGTAATGAATTATATAATCCTATCCCCGTAGCTTAATTAAGTTAAAAAAAAACTGCATTATCTAAACCAAATTCAAGTCATATTGTTAATGTTAATATTTATGTTGCCTAACCCCATTTAAATTTCAAAAATAAGGGGAAAAAAGGGAACATGTTATTCATTAGAAAAGTCTGTGCAATCTTCCTTTAATAAATTTGATAACCATGGAAATTCTTCCCAGATCTAATAAACACAAAGTACTCAAGCATCTTATAAGGAAGATTTTATAAGATACTAACAACCGCTGAAGGACACAGACGATGCTTGGAAAGAAGAAATGACTTGAATGAAATCAAAGGAAAAATGGCAGCAAGGTTTGAATAAGAAATGCATTAATTAAAAAATATTTATTGAATACTACAGTTAATCATATGACAAGTTGATTCAATTTGAAGTCTGGTTATGAAGAATAAGAATGACACATATGATGACCGACTCCAGATTACTAGCAAAAATATCTGATATGCTCACTGCTCATGCAAGTTTTTTCAATTGTGGTATTATTAAGTTATGAACAACCATCCTCAACAAACTTTTATGCTATCTGTAAATTTAAATAAAAAGAAAGTCTACTGTAGATTAAAGAACTCAGATAAATTCTCTGTTACAGCAAATAGAAGCATATATCAACAATATTTGGGGGGGGGGGCAATATAACTTGCATGGTTGTAATTATTTACATGTTATTCACATCTTTTTTTCATTCTTATATCTTCCTTAAAATTCTCCATAGGAAATAGGAAAATAATAATTAAATAAACAAGTAAATGAACTGGAAAATCAGTACAAGAAAGAAAACTGAATCAAAGATTAGAATACAAAGCATCTACAATTTTCCCTTTGTCATCCCTCCATTTATGTAACATCAATGTGTGGGGGGGGGAATTATAAATTCAAAATTAAGGAAGGGATAAAATCTCACCAAGATGGAATAAAGAACCTTGAAAACAGTGATTTGACAAGGAGCATTAATCAAGTATCATTTCCAGCTGTAAGGAACTTCTTGGGGGGAAAAAAAAAAATTAGGATGCAACACCAATATAATTTTTTTTTCAGCCTTCAGAGAATCTCTCAACGCAAGAAAGCAAATTTAATTTTATAATTATGCTGTAAATTACTCACATTTTAGTGTGAATAATCCCATTACACATAACTATCACATATTTTAATTCTATTCACATTAAAATTTTCCTAAAATGCAAATAAATCCTATACTTAAGACACAATAACACGCCGAATAAATACTAATTCAGAAGTCAAACAACAAAAATCAGCGTTATATTTACAAAATTTTCACAGGACTAGTTTCCTGTGAAAATTTTGTAAACATAACGCTGATTTTTGTTGTTTGACTTCTGAATTAGTAAATCCTATACTTATTTGTTTGGCAAAAATAAGTAGTCCAATACAATCCTTTTTATTTTAACACAGCAGCTACAGAAAATGTTGCATCATTCCAAATAACATTACTAATCTAGGAATGAATTACTATTTAATTTTTAAGTAAAATTTAACACTAGTAGCAGTCAACTTCTGAGTATTAACTTCTTTCAATACAGAAAATCTAAACAGTTAAAGTATTCTCCACAGAAAAAAAATTGCATAAATTTGTTCATAAAGCCCTTTTTTATATAAACGAGTTCATAAAAACAAAATATGCAGTTGCTTAAAAAAAAAATCACTGAAAAATCCAGTTTTAATCAAATTCAAGGCATAGTCATTTATAAAAAAGTGACTGTTCAATTTCTCGCATTCACCAATCTTTCTGCTTCATTTTTCAAATGCATTAAATGCATTTGGATAACTGTATTCTTACAAGTAAAAGTCACTTATACCCCAAACCCTGGGGTAAAAAAAAAAAAAAAAAAAAAAGATGAGAACAGAAATATGGATGATTGACTCATTCAAATGAAAGAAAAAAAATACAAGCACAGCTACTTCAGGAGTGTTTATATAATCTTTATGATAAAATTTCAAAAACTGAGATAAGCCAAGATTTTTAAACTAATAAAGGATGGTATACTTATTTTACCTATAGGGGTGATTTATGCTTATACTACAATACAATAGTTATCTAATGTCTTCCAACTGACTTCAATGACAAAAATAAGAGTGAAAATTTTTATAAAGAGTAAGTGACAGTACACAGGATGACATACTGCAAAGTAACAAATCTAATGTCAGTGATAGCAACCAAGGTCTGTAAAACTGTAAAAAATGTATTAGTACTCTCTGATTCTCTGGCCAAACATTAGCAAAATAACTGGGCAATAAGCCCTGTTATCAAAACAGGCAACCAAGAATTTTACTAAAATATATTTATATGGCAGCCCACGAATGGTTGCACATACATTAACACCAGTGCAGAATTTGGCTTTTGAAATTCGAAGGTCCTCTTTGTGGCAGCTTAGTTGCTGTGATTAGTATGGGCTTTTTTTTTTTTTTTTTTTTTTCCTTGTAATGAATCAAAATGCCACTGTAGAATTTGCTTGCTAATGAAAAAGAAACTGTTGTATATATAAAAGAAATATGCATAATGAAATACTGAAAATTAGATAAAACAGCAGTAAATTAATTAAGTTAAAAACAGCTTAACAGTATCCACCCTATGCAAAAAAGTACACTGCTAAATTGCTGAGGACTGACAACATTATCACCCACAACAACCAAAAAATAAAAGGAAGCAAAATGTGGAAAATCACAAGTGCTGGATACAGTAAGAAGAGATGTGTGTACGCAAATGTTCATTTCCTTACACTGATAAAAGGTTATAGGATATGATGTATGGGTCAGTTATTGTACCAAATGAAAGTTTTATGGGGAAGATTTAATTGATGATCTTGAAAGTTTCAGTA